CAATGGGCGGGTGGGTATTTTTCGATGTCTTAAGACAGCTGCTCTTGGAAAGAATGCTTGGACTTGAGATGCTGAACCCTAAACCCTAAACCCTAAGCCCTAAGCCCTAAACCCTAAACCGCGTGGCAGCAGCAGCAGCAGCGGCAGCAGCAGCGGCGGCGGCGGAGGCGGCGGCAGAGGGCGGCAGCACAGCGAAGGCTGCTGCTGGGCTCATCTGCTCCAGACTGGGTTCTCGACCTCGAAGGGCAGTGAGGCGGGGTGGCAAGCAGGGAGACCAGCAACAGCAGCAAGCAGCAGAGGAACGGAGAGGCCTCATCACACCCAGACTAGACTGGGGTTCTTGACGTGGGAGGCTGACTTGGGCCAGATCAGGGCTAGCGACGCCCGCGCGGAAGAGGACCCGCAGCAGCATCGACGGCGGAGGCGGCAGCGCGACGCAGCCAAGGCGAAGGCAGCGTGGCAGCAATAGCAGAGCCGGCAGAGGAGGCGGCGGGAAGAGCCACAGCTGCTGCTGGGGCCTCATCTGCCCCAGACTGGGTTCTCGGCGCGAGAAGGCTGACCTGGGCCAGATCAGGGCTACTCAAGGCAGAATGGGCCCCAAGGGCGAGGGCTCTTGGGAAGCCAAGTTTGGGGAACTGGCGGAGTGAGAAGCAGGTAGCAGCTGGGGAAGCGGCGGCAGCGGGTTGGTTCAGTCAGAAGCAGGTAGCAGCTGGGGACCGAGCTGCTGTGGATGGCGGATGGCAACGGCAGGGCGCTCGGGAAGCGAGCGAACGCTAGGTTGGCGCAGTGAGAAGCAAGTAGCAGCTGGGGAAGCGGCGGCAGCGGGGGCTGCGGGGAAGGCCGAGCTGCTGTGGATGGCGGATGGCAAGCCTGGAGAGCCCTCAGGGCGTTTAAATAACAACCCAGGATGTTTCTTCTTGCAAATTAACAACCTGGCCAAAATAAACAAGCCAGCTCGTTTCTTCAAGTGTCCTCAAGGATCCCCATCTACTCTATGGGCCACTGTATGTTATTTGTTACGTCGAAAATTACATTTCACAATCGTGCATGCAATCGCTTGGACCTACTAAAGAAGCCAAAAAGCATGAAACACATCTCCAGGCATCAGCAGAACGATGCAGATCTGTACAAGTTGCTCGACAACAAAACAAATCTTCAGTAAATAAGATACTAGCAAAAGTACAAACCTTAATTGGGTATCAATATTCAGCCATCAAATAGAAGCTGAAATATGGAACGTCACCAAGCCCTCAGCTCTCCACTTTGTTAATCCCAACATGCACCCATATAATAATATCAAACCCTCTGGGAGATAAAGCTGCATATCTTGAACACTGAAAGAGTTAGGTTTGTTGGTTGTGTTGAGATTTTAGAAGTGTTACAAGACTAGAGGTAATTTGCAGGACAATACGATCAGGGTTCAAGGTTAAGGGGTTTTGGAAATGACCAGTGTTGGAATGGGAGGGCAGAGTTCTAGCAGATTTCAACACTGGTTCAAGCGCCAAGAATCCCAACAAATATACAGTGGTAGTTTCCATTTTCTTTTCCATCATCCAGATTAATTGCAACTCACCATACAAAGAAAGCATCAGTCAAATCATTTCCGCCATTCCCAAATCACTTTAATTCTTCCCACCTCTCAGATGTTAAAGCCACAGAGGCGGCCTCTGTGGCTAACCCCAATATACTTGTAGTTTCCATTCTTTTCACCATTGTCCCAACATACGAAAACCTTAAGCCCCAGACACACTCGCTGCTCGACATTTTTAGCGCCGGTGCACCTTGATCCGCTTCTTCTGTTGCTGCAAACGCTTTGGGTCAAAGGCCAGCGCACGTTTCAGTGCATACCTTCTGCCAAACTCAACATTGAACGTTCTTGGGTGCACAGCTGCTGCGATTCCAGCTAAGCCCTTCGTGTGATCTTCGCCCAGGAAGCAGCTTTGCTGCTGTGGGTTTTGGCCTGTCTGCCACACCCATTGCAAGAGGTGCACTGTATAATGCGTTTTCGGGCGCATGCGATAAAGCAAAACAGAATTCGTCTGTGCTTTCTTTGAAAGAAACTGATACGCTGACATGTGCAGGCGCAGCAAGGCGCAGGACTCATTCCTTTGCGCTGCAGTGAGATACGGTCCTGGAGATGACATGAAGAATCATTGTAGCCCTAAATGGAACCCAGAATCCTGAACCAAAGGAGTTATGCCCTAAACCCTAGCCCTAAACCTTAACGAAAAAAAGATACAAAGCAATGAACCATGCAAGTGTCTCTGTCCAGTAAGCCATATCTGTAAGGCAGTGGATAAACTCCAAAGCATCGTGCATCGCATCTGCTTCAGAACCAGTTCATTATCAGAGCAATCATTCTCCTAGCAAGGTTGCCATGGTCAAGCTGAGGTTGGGAAGTTTCCAGAAGTGTTCAGGTTTCGGTCAACGGTTTTTGGTTAAGCTTAGGCTTAAGAAATGCCATGGCTCAGACCAAGGGCCCCGCTCATGAATTGTTGCTGGGGGAGGCGAGTGCCAACACCCCATATATATGGAAAAGCGCCCTGGTCATGGATTGTTGGCTGGGGGAGGCGACTGCCAACACCCCAGATGGAAAAGTGCCCTGGTCATGGATTGTTGGAGGGGGAAGTCAGGCAGAATGCCAACGCCTCATATGAAAAAACGCCGCACTTATGGATTCTGGCATGGCTGGGTCATGCGTATTGCCCTGACAGATGGAAGACGAGAAACCAAGTGGGGGCACTGCACTACTAAAGCTAAAAAATAAAAACCTAAGCCTAAAACCCGAAAGAAAAACTTAACATATTCAGTCACAGCTGCCATGACGCAGGAAACGTGGGAGACATACATGAGGAGTACTTTTGCTCTGGCAGCCTCAGTTGCCGAAACAGCATGATTTAATCAACATGCTGGAAGCAATTGGAGAAACAGCATATAAAACATTTCGTTGTGTCAAGGGGCTTTGATCCGGCTCGTCAACTCCGGAAATCCAATGGGCACATCAGACTTAGCCGGGAGTCCCAGACTAGCACGATTCAATGGCTTGATGTTGAGTTCCTGGCAACAGACACATGCAGAAGACCCAGCAATTAAGCTGGAAACCCTGCAGCACTAAACCCTAAGCCCTGAATTCTATGAATTGTCTGTCCTGGTGACGATTGCGAGCCCACTCCTTGGCACAGTAGGTGAAGCGATGCAGCACCTGGTCAATGTCTGCATTGACTGGCAGATCATAAAACCTCAGCAACATGTCGGAGTTCACTGGTTGCGAAAATAAGAGCATTTCACGCAGGCCCTGGAATTCCAGGGCACGAGAGGCGAGAATTACTTTGCGTCTTGTTTACAACCCAAGCAAAATTTAGAATCACTGAGCTCCAGCAAATAGAGACACCGTTGACCATGGTACATGCACCAAGAAGCTTGTGCAGCGCTTTGCTCTGCAACATATCCACCATGACACTTGCAATGATGTCCCTCAGTGTTCCCAGATGGAGAATATGCATGCCTCAGCTGAAGATAGATACATCCATTGCTTGTGAGTGGGGTTGTTGGGCACCTGCCACACCACACCTGATCCCAACAAATACATACATCAATTGATCACCAGTGGGGTCGTTGGGCACCTGCCACACCTCAGCTGAAGTAACAAATCCTCCTAATATTGTAATTGCTGAGCAGTGGGTTTTCGGCACCTGCCACACCTCACCTCAACTTTGCTTCACAAACCTGCTACTCAGATGACTGAAAAAGAAACCTGGCTGTTCGCCTCACCTCACAGATATAGTTTAAGTTTCCACTGGTCATCTGGCCTGCAAATCTGCGTGCAGTCTTGGCACTGTCCAACCAAATGCGAGAACGTTCATACCCAGGAACGCACTTCCAGTGAGATTGATCGTGTTCATCACGGATTGGAGTGCCAAAACGGATGCAAGCTGCAGTTGCACTGAGATCCCCAAAGGTTAGGGCAGGAGTGCTTGACGCGCAGCAAAGGTCGCAAATATACTGGCAGCCTTGCAAGTATCATGAAGTATAAGATGTTGACGCACACACTGAGACATCATGAAACTGGAAGCGAAACAATATTATGTTGTGGGCCAGTCACGGTAGTGTCTGTTTGTGAGAACATGTGCATAGTTTCGGGCTTCCATGTCTCCCTGCCAGCTGCAGAAACGTGCAGTGTAGGGGCCTGCCACTCTGGTACCGGCCAAACGCTGACGTTGGCTGCCCACTGTCCAAGGATTGTTCAGGTGGTCAACGTGAGGACGTGTGCCTTTATCATTGGGTAACTTTACACACGCGGTATTTATGCTGTGTCATAAGTACCAACACTGGATTTCCTAGGAGGGGAAGCCGAGGCTTTCGCCCTCCAACCCTATAGCATATCATAGTATCTATTTTAGAACCAAAGCTGAAAAAAAGCTGAAAACATTGTCCCAGTGGCCTTGCCGTAGAGTGTGCAAGTCCCATGCCAGCACTTCAGCGATTCGACGCCGTGTTGCAGGGAGTACACGGCTGGAAGCCAAGCCGACCACACATGTACGAGACTGCCAGCTGCCCAACTCAGACAAGGCTGACCACGACCAGAAGGAGAAGGACTCATCCTTGAAAGATGGGACACCATCCTCATGAAAGAATAGCGGAATGGTTGTAGCAAAATCAGTGTCTTGCAAGCCAATCCTTTCAAGCCATTCCTCATCCTCACCTTGCCAGTACTGCGTGAGGCTGCCTTCACCACCAGGCCCAAAGATTGAAACATCAAACGCCAAGCGGCGGTGCATTTCATGGATAAAATCAGATGGCAAGTTTATGGCAACATCCTCTTCGACCACGCGGCGATCCTTGGTGCCCTTGGCCAACAAGGGCAGCTTTACCACGTACTGCTTCCAAGGCAGTTTCACCCAGCGCCAGAAATCTCGTTGACGCGATGAACTTGCCAATTGGCGCGCTGCCTTCCTGGCACATCCATCCTCAACGAAGGCTGCCGAAATTGCCGCAGCTTTCTGAACAGAGAGTCCCTGCAGGATTGCCACTACCCAAGAAATTGGATGTCTGTTACATGAAGGGAGCTTAAGTTTAGGGAGTTTAGGGAGGTGAAGGGACCTAACAAATGGGATGGCTGCGAAATTAAGGGAGCTTGTTTGGGGAGGCGAAAGGCCAACCACCAAAGGTATTATGAAGCATTTCCTACCACGCACAAAGCTGAAACTAAGCAACGAAAAGCCTGGCTGAACATGTGCAAAGTGACACCACTGCCGATTTCTTCGGCCAGAACTCGAAACCCAGCGCTGTCAACTTCAGCCAGATCCCTCAGTCAGAGAAATAGTTGGGTTGCATAGATGCAATTACAGTCAGAGTAGTCCTTGCCCAGTTTGGGTAATAATGCCACCGTCAACCCATTAGATGATCATTCCTAGGGTCCCCCCTACACTTCACCGATATAT